ATATATATATATATATACATATAGCTTGTGACATTGTATATAACCAGCACAGTTATTACCATGTTATTGTTTATGAGGCTTTACCAACTCTTACAGAAACTTATACACTAATGACCTGGTAAGAATATTTTATTTACATTGTACATGAGTACAACATCATATATGGATTGTGAAGAGTTATATTAATATGGCTTTCCTCTGTGTGAATGCTTTAAAATCACAGAGGGAATGGAATCAAACATTAATATATTGTGTAAAAATATGTATATATGTTTTATACTAAACAACAGTATTTTATTTGCACATCATTCCATGCTAAAGAGAATGATTTATCCAGTGCATTGAATTCAAGCACCATTGGTCCAAGTGTTCAAAATACCCAGTGTGTTATTGAATTCAAGCACTATTGGTCCAAATGTTATTCACCTATTACAATTTGTATTTTGATTCATACTCGTATGTTTTAGTTAACAGAGCCAACAAAATTTATCTAAATACTTCCAAGTCTAAAGAGGTATTTTCATTTGTCTAAGTGTTGTGTACATCCAGGTGTGTGCAACACACAGCATTAGGATGAAAATGCATCGAAAAACTGACGTCCTTTCTATAATGTAAGGTACACCATTCCCAACCACATCACCACCACTCAGCTGTCCAGTGGGCGTCTCCTCGTTTGATGCCAGAACAGTTTGTTGGTGTTGAACAGAACAGCCGAACCAGAAACTGGATATGAGTTTTGGTCCTTGTGCATCTGTTTTCATTCTTTTGTCGTCAAATGTCCAAAAGTATTCGTCTTTGAAAAAATACGTTTTTCCTAAGAAAATACAATATATCTGTATACATATTTCTGGTATTTTCATAAATGCTTGCCTACAGAAATCAAAGTCAACTTGAACGTTCTTCTGTGAGATTTTTTAATCAGGGAAACTGTTTAAAAACAAGTGGAGTTAAGCAAACATATCTTCTGATTGTTAAAGATGCACTCAAAAATGAATAATAAAAATCTTTAACCATAACTCAATGTACTATTGTAGTAACTTGTAAAAGATTATTTAAACATGGTAAAACATATTATACGTGATTTTTTAATTATTACTATAAGACTGTTTGTAGTACATTAGGATTACACAAAACCAGATTCATCAAAAAGGAGAGTAGTCACCTTTAAGCCCATAATGTCAAGGAGTCCACAGTGGTTATATTTATTTTCCTTTTTTTTTAATGGCCTTCACATCTAACATTTTAAGTTGCGAACTGCAGTATTTTAAAATCATTATATCTGATACAAGTTTTGTTTTAATGAGTAAACTTTCAATGTAAAAATAAGTAAATGATGACTTGTGGAAAAAGTAAGTAAATTTGCTTATGAAACCCCCTCCATGATCTTACTCCACCCCTAGGATTACCAAACATTAACACCACAAAATATGAAAATATTACAAAATAAGAAATCTTCCTGAGTTGCACGTACCATAATATCTTATCAAATATTCCAAAAACAATTATTGAAAACCCGTGTAAACATTTCGTTTAGCTGAATCAAACTAACTATACTGAGTATATTTGCTTTTAAGAATTTTTAAGGTTATAGAAGGCTAAGAATTGTGTTTTTGAGATCCAATACCTGCTACATCCAATCTTAGAGTAATGTTCATAAGCAATTTCCAATATTTTAAGCTACGATTGTAAGTCAATATCATAGTGTAGAAGCGATTGATTACTTATTTAATTATCATATAATTCTGTTATTATTAATTTAATAAGTAAATACATCTTGCTACCAGCAGGTATTCATTTACCATCTTCCCACTGAAGAGCTGCATCAATCCCAGCTGGAACACCCCTCCACATGATAATGCTACGAGGGTAGTCCAATTCCACTCTGCCCTCTACTTCATCAAATCTCCAGTACTGTTGCCCAGTGAATAAATATGTTTTACCATTATGGCCCCACACTAGAGCTGCATCAACATGTTGTAGGTTCGCTGGAAGCCCAAGATCTGTTAGTGGACGAGGATAGCCTGGTTCTGGAATGTTGGCATTAAACAGCCAAAATCGATTTCCTGAAAGTACACGTAAATTATTGCATATTTTAAAAACTATTTATTTTCAAAGAAAAGGGTTTTAAATGACATCAGGTTAAAGTGTTTCTTGATGTAGTGAAAAAAAAATTTTATTTATGAAACAAGTTCTTTAAAGTAGAATATATGTTTGTTTGTTTGAAGTTAAGCACAAAGCTACACAATGGGCTATCTGTGCTCTGCCCACCACGTGTATCGAAACCCGGTTTCTAGCGTTGTAAATCCGCAGACATACCGCTGTGCCAATGGGGGGCTTAGAATATATCATACAGTGATATACCAACTGGTTTTTCCATAACACAATATGTGGGATATAAAACTGTTTCTTGTGCTTCCAAGCTTCATTAATGCAGGGCCAGTTTTACCCAGTAATTATATATTTATACATAAGTATATTGACTAATGAATGAATAGAAAAAACAAACAAGTCAATAGACGGATTGTTTTAGAATATGATGCAATTCGAGTGGAATGTGATGTTGTAAAATAAAATAAAAATGTTTTAAGTCAATTAGGTTAATGAGTTAAGCTGATGTCATGCTTTCAAATGTGGTAAAAAAAAGTGTGAAACGTACCTAAAAAGAAAACAATCTTATCATCAAGTGGACGAACATACACAGCATCCACCCTGTCCAAGTCAGCAGGTAGATTATACCAAAAACGGTCAATGGCCAACGGAGGAGGAGGAGGAGATGAATCGCTGTTGTTCATTTCTTTACTGTTCAGTCTCCAGAAGTACTTGAAAAACAAAACGCTACAATGGCTTTTAGCACTAAACATTAATTCCTGATTCAAGTTATCTGTACTTAACGAGTTTGTTTGTTTGTAATTTCGCGCAAAGTTACACGAGGACTATCTGCGCTAGCCGTCCCTAATTTAGCAGTGAAAGACTAGAGGGAAGGCAGCTAGTTATCACCACCTACCGCCAACTCTTGAGCTACTCTTTTACCAACACACCAAACATGCTCGCCCTTTCAGCCGTGAGAGCGTTATTATGTGAAGATCAATCCCACTATTCGTTGGTAAAAGAGTAGCCCAAGAGTTGGCGGTGGGTGGTGATGACTAGCTGCCTTCCCTCTAGTCTTACACTGCTAAATTAGGGATGGCTAGCGCAGATAGCCCTCATGTAGCTTTGCGCGACATTCAAAAAAACAAACAGGTAATAGCTTTCCCGAACGTATAGCACATTCAAATTCCACAGAAACAGTAGTGTATGCTTGTAACAGAGCACGTGACACGAGCATACAAATACTAATATTTCAGTTTGTGGAATTGCTTTCTGGTGTAATTTTCCAGATAATGTTTAACGTTCGCTATTTTTATTCGTGGTATTAAAAACAAAACGTAGCGTCAAAAATTTTGGTAAATTAATGAAAAAAAAACACAAAAAACAACGAAACCCTAGCGATTTTTGGGAAGTGGATCTCGTCTTCTTCGAAAGTAAAAAGAGATGGTGGAATGCCTCTTTTAGTTTGTTTTGTTTGTTTGTTTTTAAATTTCGCGCAAAGCTACACGAGGGCTATCTGCGCTAGCCGTCCCTAACTTAGCAGTGTAAGACTAGAGGGAATGCAGCTAGTCATCACCACCCACCACCAACTCTTGGGCTACTCTTTTACCAACGAATAGTGGGATTGACCGTCCCATTATAACGCCCCCACGGCTGAAAGGGCGAGCATGTTTGGTGTGACGGGCATTCGAACCCGCGACCCGCAGATTGCGAGTCGAGCGCCCTAACCACCTGGCCATGCCGGGCCCCTCTTTTAGTTATTCGGTTACTTTTGTTTGGTAAACAATGGGTTAGGGCACGAGACCCACGGAATTTAAATTACATATTGTTTGTTGTATTTCTAATATTTATCTCGAGGCTACTTTAGACCTTAGTAACGTTCTTATTTTTTATATCCCATAACATACCTTTCCTTTAAAAATGAAAAGTTCTCGTCTGATAATTGATAGAGCGTCAATGGAAGAGTTGCAGGCGTCCGGAGCGAGAGGGCGTGGAGGCCTTGTGGAAGGTACCAAATTTTCATCATCTGGTGGAGGAGTAAGGTGAGAGCCATCCTCGACATATGTTGTCGTCTCATAGAGATTGGTGGTGGTGTGTTGTGTCGTAGGGATCGTGCCAGGAGGTAATGGTTCCCATTTGGGGAGTTTTCGAGCACCTGTAGAAAGCCAAGAAAGTACACTGATTATCATTTAGGATGAATAGATGAATTTTTATTCTTTCCTCCAAAAGGAATGGATGAATACATAGAAGTTTAGAAAACGTACTTTTCCCTTGGTGATCAGGATTACGTCATTCAGCTAATGTGTTTAGCTTAAACAACTGCAGCGAAATATTTTAATGTATGAATTTGAAATTGATTTTCGAACAGTTAACATTTTGGTTTCGGAAATTTTTATCTTGTATAACAGGTCTAACGCTATGACATAGAAATCATTAAAAATCTACCAAGTTTACAATTAATCGCCCCAAAACAGTTTATATAAAGCGAGGTACAATTCTTTAATGTCGTATGTAACTTGTGTTAAGATGTATTTTCTAATGTTGACCACATCATTTCATAGTTTCAGTGAAGTGGTATAAAATGAAAACCTAAAAACAATAACCTTCCCAAAACGATACTTTAAACTAAGTTGGTCAATAGATAATAATATGGGCCCGGCATGGCCAGGTGGTTAGGGAGCTCGACTCGCAATCTGAGGGTCGCAGGTTCGAATCCCCGTCACACCAAACATGCTCGCCCTTTCAGCCGTGGGGGCGTTATAATGTGACAGTCAATCCCACTATTCGTTGGTAGAAGAGTAGCCCAAAAGTTGGCGGTGGGTGGTGATGACTAGCTGCCTTCCCTCTAGTCTTATACTGCTAAATTAGGCACAGCTAGCGCAGATAGTCCTCGTGTAACTTTGCGCGAAATTCAAAAAACAAACAGATAATGATATCTCGAAATAAGAACATTGTTTGGTTGTTGAATTTCGCGCAAATCTACTCGTGGGCTGTCTGCGCTAGCCATCCCTAAATTAGAAGTGATAGGTTAGAAGGAAGGCAGCGAATCAACATCACCCATCGCCAATTACTATGCTATTCCAAGCGAATATTTGGATTAGCCGTCACATAATAACGTCCTCGTAGCTAAGAGAGAGAGAGAATGTTCGATGATGGAATACAAACCTGCGACTCGTAGATTGCGAGTTGAGTGCCCTAACCAAGAGCAAAAACAGAAACATATAATAGAAAATCCGTACCTATGACTAAACTGAAAATACATCAGTTCAATTCATACCCTGTTGGTATATTTTTAACTTATAAGGGTTTTAGATAATTCAAACTGAACGGCATCTCACGCATACGCAGTCATACAGCTTTATTGGTCAGATAAAAGGTAGATAACAAGCAGCACCCACCGCCACATGGGGTTTACTGGTTTTGACTTGTATAACACGATTGAGTATTACCCTTATATCGCACACACAGCTGAAAGTGAGGAGCGTGTACATCATCATCATTGCGGTGCCAACCTTGGACTTTCTAATACGCAGCCCTTGACGCTAACCACTAGATCACGTCTGGCTCACCCAAGAAATTTAAAACAATGGTGAACCTAGACACTAGAACTTCTCTCTCTCTCTAGAAGCAGTTTTTTATTTTAATATTTTCACTCAGATCTGAGATTCAGAACCTGTTTTGGTTGTTGTTGTTTTTTAATCTAAAGGCGGAAATACTATAATTAATTTTAAAACTGGCGCGATTGCATTACAAGTTGATAATTGACCGATGTTGTCTATTTCTTTGTCTTGCAGTTAAGCACAAAGCTACACAAAGGGCTATCTGTGCTCTAACCATCACGGGTATCGAAACCCGATTTCTAGCGGTATAATTCCGCAGACATACCGCTGTGACACTGGGGGGCACTAATGTAGTCAACTGCATTGCTATACTCCAACCCCATCCAAAACAAAAGCCTCAAAAACGTTTAAAATGTTATATTTCAAAACTCAGAATCCCCACCCTCATCGAACATCGGAAATCCGGTTTATATATTTTTTTTATCTAGAAATTAAGATCTGAAACATATATTTTGTTAATCTTTCTCGTCAACTAAAACAAGTCACAAAATAAAGCATTTGTAAAATGCAACTTATATGTAAATTTAACGTATGCTATTTCTTTATTATATAGCATGTTAGCTCGCCCATGTAATCAGACACTGTAATACACCACCACACTTCATACAATTACAGGTTAACCTGCTTAAGTAATTCATGCATCCACATCATAAAACGTGACCTGGTGAGGTCAAGTAAGGCTACGATGTCTAGCTTAGACATGTAACACCAAGTTACAGTATCTAGCTTAGACGTGTAACACCATGTTACAGCATATAGTTTGTAAGTGTAACACGATGTTATAGTATCTAGCTTAAACATGTAACACGATGTTACAGCATCTAGCTTAGACATGTAGCATCATGTTACAGTATCTAGCTTAGACGTGTAACACCATGTTACAGCATATAGTTTGGAAGTGTAACACGATGTTACAGCATCTAGCTTAGACATGTAGCATCATGTTACAGTATCTAGCTTAGACGTGTAACACCATGTTACAGCATATAGTTTGGAAGTGTAACACGATGTTATAATATCTAGCTTAAACATGTAACAACATGTTACAGCATCTAGCTTAGACATGTAGCATCAGGATACGGTATCCAGCTTTGACATATAGCGCCACGTCACAGTATCTAGCTTAGACGTGTACTACATGTTACAATATCTAGATTAGACATGTAACACAATGTTAGAGTCTAGATTAGATATATAGCACCATGTAATTGATTTTGAAATTCGTGTTTTAAATACAGCTAGCGACATCTACTTGAAATATTTACAAACATAAGTAGTCGTAACATCATTAAATAACAATTATCATACTTATTTCTGAAAAACAACTACGCTGATTTTTCATACATAAATCTAAATAGGCATAGACAAATAACACGCACACAATGAATCTACAACCGCTTACGTTATGTTAAGAGTGTTTAATTTACTTAAATATAACATTCTTAAGAAATAAAAGAAAGTTAAAATGTATATTATAGCTTCCAATAAAGAGGGTGAAACGGAATCATATACCATATAACTGTTGGACCCCAACGGCATCATCATAGGGCAGTCTCAAATCGTCGCCAATAGGCTGGTAGTAAGGAAACATCAGTGAGTCAATAACAGAACTGTGAGCTAACCCTAAAGAGTGTCCGAACTCGTGAGCTGCTACAGAGAATAGATCAACGCCTGAAAATAAAAATAAAAAAGATATTATTTGAAAATGAAGAACGATATTATATCATCTGATTGTAGTAATTCGTAGAATTAATACACTTTCGAATTTCAGTTGAATTTCATTTTTATTCAGCAGTATGAAAAAAAACTGAGACATCAAACTAAACTATTTTTTTTAATATTATTCACTTTTTATCGTTTCTTGACAACATTAATATACACAATTAATAAGAGATTTGGGGCCGTAAATCATTTCGAAATTTCTTCGCGCTAAATAAATTACGTCGCGGGTTCGAATCCCCGTCACACCAAACATGCTCGCCCTTTCAGCCGT